AAATGAATGTTACCTGTTCTGAATGAATCAAATAAACTTGTTTCTTAAATTCGCTGTTCACAGACAATACTGCACGAGAGGGTTCGCGACAACTGGGAATTGGTACTTCTCAAAATGTGGTTGATTCATTTTCGATTTTAACCAGTTTGCAAAAATTTCAAAAGCACATTTTTAATGTTAGCATTATGGGTTTTGGTTTTGAATCATTTTGAGGACCAACAATTGGAATATGTCTGCAGATGAAGAACGTGTTGAAAAGGTGACATGCACTTTTCGAGACTTTTAGAATTTTGAGGTGAAAAAAATCAATCCAATCCAATTTGGAACCAAGCAAGAAAAAGTGAAGTGTTGTGACACTGAAACTTTCTGGATGACCTAAAAGTATTCCCAGTGCTTCGCTTTTCGAGACTTTTACCATTTTGAGGTAAAATGGGGAATTTGTTGTCGCCATGGAAACGCACAAGGCTGAGCTTGAAGTCAAAAACACAGCAGAAGTTCCAACTTTCCAAATGTTCATCAACACAGGAACATAAAATAGTAAATACGTACAATTAGCAAATGTAACGCGTGAGTGTTTGTTTGTGTGTGTGTGTGTGTGTGTGTGTGTGTGTGTGTGTGTGTGTGTGTGTGTGTGTGTGTGTGTGTGTGTGTGTGTGTATTTCCGTGCTTGGACTGCTCTCCTGCTATATGCACCCATCAAATGCAACTTTGGGCAATACCCATCACTCACACACACACACACACACACACACACACACGCACACACACACACACACACACACACACACACACACACACACACACACACGCTTCATCTCCCACTGAAACAAACAAAACAAAATAAAACACACACTGGCGCCTTCCATCACCATCAGGCTGCTTTCTGTCGTAACGATGTGCAATCAACGCGCAACGCTGACCAACACGTACACACACACCCACCCACACGCGCACACGCGCGCACGCGGGGCTGGTTGAAGGATGAAGTCAGCCTGTGATTGCAGAAGAGTTACAGTATCGACTCATTCCATTCGTGTGCGTGTGTTTGTGTGTGTGTGTGTGTGTGTGTGTGTGTGTGTGTGTGTACGTGTGTACGTGTGTACGTGTGTGTGCATGTGTGTGTGCACTACTTCATTAGCAGCCCAGGCTGCAATTTGTCATATGCTAAGATGGCACAAGATCTGTTATTTCATTTCACCAATCAGGCTATATTCATCCACACAACAACGCATGCGCATAAGTGGCTTGGTTTGTTCTTTTTCTTGCATGATTAAAAGTGAAGCGCCATGAAGACTTTTTCTGTCGCGGGGCTTTACTTTTAGAATTTTTGAGGGAGAAAATCAATTGACTGCGAAATGTGGAGACTTTGAAGAGCTGGGAATACTTTGCGGATGCACTGACAGGAAGAAAATTGTGAGGAAAGTAGCATGACTGGCCATGTGGACCTCGAGCATTGCAAATGTCGCTCTAAGATGTGGAGTTTGAGCAAAATAATACAAAGATGTGAGCCCAAAATGTCAAAGGTGACGCTCACGCAGCCACTGGATGGCCGGACATGTTAATCATTGCAGCAGCAGTGCTGATGCATGTTCAGAAATAGTTATTGTGTCATTTTTCGATCAGTTGGACATATTTCATGGAAAAAGGGAAAACAAAATGGGAAAAAAAATCGTTGTTGAACGATTTTACAAATGCATTTCACATTTTTATTCACCTGGATTGGTTAATTTATATATAAATTAAATTGATTGTATTTATGGAATCAATAATTGTAAAGGATTTCACATTTCTTATTTATTTTAGTAAGTAATTGGTTGGTTAATTTATTGTAAATAAATCCATTGTAAAATTGTAAATTATTTAACTTGTTTTGTGTTATCAGAAATGTTACATTTTGAATGCATGTCATGTTTTATTTATTCTTTTGAAATTGTTACTGAATTTTTGTCAACCAATTAAAATAATACATAAATAAAAAATACATTAACCGAAATAGTAACTGTTTATATTAAATGTTATCATATGAATCTGTTAATTACTTAAAAGTATTTTTTTGAAATTCTATTAAAATAAGAACAATGCAATCTATAATTTTGTCTAAATAAAATGATTTGCATATTTTACATACAAATTAGGGAGGAAAATAATCTGTATTCCTTTATTTGTATTTATTTTTCCATCAATTATGAACACTAAAAAAGAAACCCGTCGATGATATACACAAGGTTTAATATGAATTATTGTTTGTTCAATACCGCGTAATGGCTGCCAAGATGCCGTGTTTTTTTTTTTTTGGTAAAGCAATATTATTTATAGCCACTAGAAGGCGACAAATCCGTATTTTACTTTGCTCACGTCTCCGTGCACTCAATAGCAGTTTTCATGTGATAAATTAATCAGGTTTTGCACAATAAATCTTTATAACCCTTGCGGGTTGTATTTACGCGAGAACACTTCAGATCTCCGACTCGCGTGGTACATTATGGCTGAAAGACTTTTTCCATTTCAAATTATTGTTTCGTTTCAGTGTTTCAACTGATTGTGTTATTTTTTTCTTTCTGTTTTTTTTCCTTGACAAACAAGAAATGGTGCCGTTCTATTTGAATGCATATCGAAGGAGAACATGAGGACGACGTGAGGCTTCGACATGCTTGTCCACTAAAAACTGAATGCTGACAACACGTCCAGCAATCCCAAATGCCTCACCGACCGGCACACATAGTTTGCATTGTACACATTGTGATAGACATGAGGCCCAAATAAGAAGAATGCCATCATGTGACGGCAACATTTAAAGGTCAGGGATCTTGTTTTTTTTTTTTTTTTTTCTGACCACAATTGTGTGGCTGGGAAAATCCATAACGTTCACATGCAAGTGTGAATATCAAGGGAGTGTCAACATTTTCTCACTATGGAAGAAGCACAGACAAGCATCAACAGATGCAACACATGGCATTGGGGTTTAAAAATAAGGGTTATGGTGTGAAAGCCTATGTTAGGGGTGAAATCAAAGCCCGGGTTTTCAAATGAGGGTTTCAAGACAGTTTGGGTTTCCACGGCTACTGGAGACCAGACTATTACTGAGAAGCCGCAGCATCAAACCACAGCGCCCAGGGGGTGTGGTTTGGAAACAGATGGCCCCATACCCCGTATCAAGTTCAAGTTATGTTTCAAAGTAGGGTTTCAAGCCCATGTTGGGGTTTGAAAAAAAAAGGCTTACACTTTCACAGTTGGAGTTTCAAGGCTAGGTTAGGGTTTCAAAGTAGTGTTTTCAACAAGAGTTAGGGTTTCAAATTTAGGGGTCTGTGATTTTTCAAAGTAGGATTTCAAGCAGTGGTTAGGGGTTAAAGCAAAGGTCAAGGTTGAAATGTATCAGTGACATTATGAACAAGGATGCTCACTGGGAAGCCTCAATCTTGCCATTGACATGACATAAACGTCGGCCGTTTTGCTTAAATGTCAAACATGTGCTTCCCTTTCATCTTTTGTTCTTTTTTTTTTCTCCCCGAGGCGATGCTTTCAATTTCCACGTAACCGCCTGCAGCGCTCTGCTCATTAAGCCGCTAATCAGCTTCCTTGTGGGCCGAGTACTAAACGACACTCCTTCAAATCCATCCAAACCGTATTGACGCATTGTTAGAATAACACCCACGCGCATACGCTTGCGGAAATTAACACCCAATTTAATGTTAGCGTGAGTTAAATGGAAATGACTTGCAGTGCTTTCTATATCGTTCATGCGTGAGACGCTAGAGATCAGCTCGGCGCCGGGTCAGCTGATCACAGCAGCATGTGCAGTGCGTTAGCGCGTTAGCGGTCATGAGACGGTAGCAATCCCTTCCCAGCTGCCTCTCGTTAGCCCGGCGTTGGCACGTGGTGCCAATGGCAGCTGATCCTCACGCCGCAAGATTAGCAAGTGAAGGCTAACATGCCAACGGGTTTTGGGGGAGGGAGCCGGACTACCTGTTTTTCGAGGGAGGGTTTCAACCTCGGGATAGGTTTTCAAGACAGGGCTTTAAATTAGGATTTCAGGGTTAGCGTTTGAAGTTAGCATAAACTTGGATTTTGCCCCAGATTTGAGGTTTCAAATGAGGGTTTCGAATCTGGGTAAGGGCTTCAAACCGGGGTCAGCGATAGCATTTCAAGTTATGGTTTTAAGGGAGGGTTTGAGTTGAAAGTTAGTGCAGTAAACCAGGGTGGTGCTTTCAGATTAAGTTCCAAAACGGGGTTAGGGTTTCCAATTAGGATTTGATGTGTGTGTTAGGTTTTCAAATTTGGGTTGCAAGTCTAGCTGAAGGTTTCAAAGAACACTGGCAGGGGTAGATTTTCAAGAGTTTGTTTGAAATGAAGTGTTCTCATGTGGATTGGGGCTTCAAACCAGGGAGGGCTTCAAATTTGAAGGTTTTAAAACAGGGTTAGAGTTTCATATTAGGGTTTTGAGCCAGGATTCGCGCTTCATTTTAGGGTTCAAATAAGGTTTTCAAGTTAGGGTTAGGGTTTCTAACTATTGTGAGGGGTTTTCACTTAGGGCATACCAGATCTGGAGTTTCAAATCAAGATTTCAAGAACGGGGTAGGGCTTCAATTTAGTGTTAGGAATTACGGTTTGAACCCCGAGAGAGAGAGACAAGAGCTACAGAAAATTCCCCTGCTGATTATTGTGGCGGCCCGGTGGTCCAGTGGTTAGCGCATCGACCTCATAGTGCAGTGGTACCGGGTTCAATTCCAGCTCCGGCCTCTCTTTTTGGAGTTTGCATGTTCGTGGGTTTTCTCCGGGTAGTCCGGTTTCCTCCCATGTTCCAAAAACATGCAAGACAGGTTAACGGAACGCTCCAAATTGTCCCGAGGTGTGAGTGTGAGCGCGGATCGTTGTTCGTCTCCGTGTGCCCTGCGATTGGCTGGCAACCGGTTCAGGGTGTCCACTGCCTACTGCCCGACACTTGTGAGGATAAGAGGATCAGAAAATGAATGAATGAATGAATGATAATTGTTCAACTTCCACTCACAAGCGATGAAACAAATCACATTTCCCAGAACTGTATCGCTTCGTGCATAGCATTATACGCATTTTGGGGTAAAATGAGAAGCACCATTAAAATTCTTATGATTCCTTGTGTGGGTCAGGATGAGCAAATGGATTAAGTCGGTAGTAAAACCACAACACACTCCCACACTCTTATGTGGATATGGACACACACACACACACACACACACACGCACACACACACACACACACACACACACACAAAGAGCCTTCATTCATTGGTTTCTGCTGATGAATGAACAGCTTGTTGGGCCAATCAGATGCATGTGACCCGTTTATATGGAGGCTGATGGGAACCAGCCTCACACACTCACGCACGCACATGTGCGCACACACATAGACCCTCAAGCATCATTCATCATGCACAGCAAAGAGCTGATCAGGTAAGAGAAATTTGATTTTGTATTTTTTTTTAATCATTCCTGATCATTTTCACCATTGGGTTCTGTTGGGAATTATGTTGTGCCATGTCAAGTGTTGCCATTGTTCAACGTTTGTGAACATGAGTAGGAAATATTGAGAAAAGACAGAGTTAGGGTTTCAAGCAGTGTTTTTCAAGTCAGGGTTACTGTTTCAAAGTAAGGTTTTGAGTCAGGATGTCAGTTTCAAACAAGGGTTAGGGTTTCAAAGAATATTTTCAAGCTAAGCGAATTTATTAGAATTTGATACTAGGGTTTTAAGATAGTATTAGGATTTCAAATTGGGTTTGCGCTTACTTTGACAAAGCAAAGGAGTGCAAGTACAGTTTTCAAAGGTAGAATGTAAAATGAAACAATCTGTCAGAAAATCAAATATTCATCCTTGAAAGATAAAATTGGTTCAAGTATTTTGATTTAAATGTCTCTATTTGTCGGGATTTTTTTTCATCATGTTCAAAAAAAAAATAATTAAACCCTGGTGTCCATGTCAGCCACGATGAATACCAGAAATCGGCGGATTGGCTAAAGTCTCAGACCAAACATCGCCCCCAAGTGGCCATCATCTGCGGTTCGGGCTTGGGCATTCTGGCTGACGCCCTCAAGTGCCAGGATTCCTTCCCCTACGCCGACATCCCGGGTTTCCCGCAGAGCACCGGTAAACACGGATCAAAAATGGGTCCTTCAATTTTCAGTGGTTGTGTTTTGATGATGTCGCCTCGCAGTTCAAGGTCACGCCGGCCGGCTGGTTTTCGGGGAGCTGAAGGGGAAAACGTGCGTGTGCATGCAGGGTCGATTCCATATGTATGAAGGACACTCACTCTGTAAGGTAACGTCATGCACTCACCGCACGACAACCTGCGTCCCTTGCTATGCTTTGCTGAGAATTGGGGCCTGTTTTACTGCCTCGCGTACCCCGCGCTCCCACTCCCAATACAAGAGAGAGGTTGCCCTTAACATGTCTTGAAGGACGATTGTGTTTTTGTTTTTTCAACAAATTTTCCATTCCAGGGTTAAGGTTTCAAACGAAGATAAGGGTTTCAAAGTTTAATTGTTTCAAGCCTCCTTGCTCGAGTTAAGGATTCGATGTAGGGTTTCAAATTAGGCCTAAAAGACAGAGTTAGGGTTTGAAACAAGGGTGCGGATTTCATATGATGGTTTTAAGACAGCGTTAGGGTTTCTCAATGGTGCTCAAGCTTGGGTTGAGGTTTCAAGACAGGGTCAGGGTTTCAATTCACTCTATCAAAATATCTACGCCCCTCTGATGCACCACTTTTGCCGCCTTCAGACCACGTTTCCGGTGCGCGTATTCAAGCTGCTGGGCGTGGAGACCTTGATTGTGACCAACGCCGCCGGCTCACTGGCTGACGGCCTGCGCCCCGGCGACATCATGATCATCAAGGACCACGTCAACTTCCCCGGCTTGGTGGGTCTGAACCCTCTGAACGGACCCAACGATGACAAGTGAGGCGGATGTGGAACAGGCGGGCTGATCTCGGTCCTGGTTGTTTTCTCACTGACGCTTTTGCTCTTTCGGCAGGTTCGGGCCGCGTTTCCCGGCCATGTCGGGATGCTATGACAAAGGTCTGCGCGCCCTGGCTATGGAGATTGCAAAGCAGATGGGCGTGGCCAACCTGACGCAGGAGGGGGTGTACGCCATGGTGGGGGGGCCAACTTTTGAATCCATCGCTGAGGCCAGACTGCTGCATCGACTGGGCGTGGATGCTGTCGGTATGGCATATATTTTCACCTTCCGTACTGAATTATCTGCGCGCCTTTAAAATCTAGTCAAGGGTGCCATATTTGCATCTTTCATGGTCATAGTTACATCCCATTTAACGCCATGTGCACCTCTACACGCATGGTGTCATCACTTTCCAGGCATGAGTACTGCCCCTGAGGTTGTGATAGCGACCCACTGCGGCTTGAGAGTCTTTGGCCTATCTCTCATCACCAACAAGGTAAACGCACATGCGCACACACAACTAAGTAGGCTTTTCGGTTACACCTCCATTCTTCGATTTGTTTTTTTCTTTTTTTTTTAATGTATGTCTGTACAGTAGATTTGCTGCCTGCAGCACTTTGAGATTCTAAGGCAGGGATGGGCAACTCCAGTTTTTCAACTTCATGTTTTGGATGTTTCCCCTCTTCCAACACACACAAGTCAAATGATCTGCCTGAAGCCTGATAACGATCCTGATGTGTACTGGAGGAGGGAAGCATTTAAAATATCCAGGCTAGTGGCCCTTGAGGATCGGAGTTGCCCATTCCTTTTTTAAGGGATAAAAACTGTATTACAAATAACATGTATTGTTGTTATTATTATTATTATTATTATTAGCATTGTTATTATCCGTCCATCCATTTTCTCAACCGCTTATCTGTGTGTGTTTGCGTCAGGTGGTGAAGAGCTACGAGGACCCGGAGAGCGTGGACCACCAGGGGGTTCTGGAGGTGGGCCGGCAGCGCTCACACACGCTGCAGCAGCTCGTGACCGAACTGGTCGCCAGGATGGAAATCAACAACAACAACAACATCAGCACCAGCAGGAATAATACTCTTTGAGCAAAGACCCCATGTTCCTTTTTGTACAGATGGGACACGTTACAGCTAACTTCTTTTTATAATCAACCACTGTTATTTGAACAAAAATATTTATATATAACTTCTATGAATTCAGTAAAGGTGTATTATTATCCAGCCATCCAATTTGTATAATTGTAGTAAACTTAAATAGTGGTGTTCTACGTTTGTTTTATTTTTTTGTATATATGACTTGTTCCCTTTCTGATCTGCTTCATAATCGAATTAAAACACACTTCCAAGCCACCTATACTGCTTCTGTCTGCGTTACAGTGTGTGTATTTTAATAATACATTTTATTTGAAGCGCCTTTCACAACACCCAAGGACACTTTACAGACGAGTTTTTACAAAGAAAAAAAACTGTAGCTAACTGTGGAAAAGTAAATACCTGTACATTTTATTTATTTAGCCCTTTTCAGACAAGGCTCATAAATTGCCCCACAAACAATATAGAGTTAAAATACACACAACCCTTCATGGAGTCTGTCAGAAAAACAAAAGGATAGACATACAGGGTGTACATAAATGTATTTAAAATGAAAGAAAAGAATAAAAATAAAGATGGTCCTCGGTGCTGAGTATGCCGTTGCACACTCCCAGCTAGACGTGGCGCTGCAGTTCATACGGATTTAACATTGGGCCGAAGAAGATAGTGTGGCGGAATATATCGTGTATGTCCTGTTTTATCTCTTATAGGCAAGCTATTATTTCTCTGCACAAGTCTACTGCAAATTTCTCAGCTGTAACCACGAAATGTCAATTCATAGCAACGTGATGTGGTACTTGCATTGGCCTTTTTTGCGCGCTTGACGGCTTGATCTCAGTGTTGATGTTGCAATAATCGCCTGTCAGAAAAGACTAAGGGCTAAGTACTGTAATAGCTCCCGTGGAGACGTAAATTGTGATGCTAAGCTAATGGGTACTAGCGCCTTTGAGTCTTATTCGTGAAATGGCGGAGCTTCATATTATCGGCCAGCTCGTCGGGGCCACCGGTTTCCCCCACAACAGCCTCTTTTGCAAGTGGGGACTCAACGCGGGAGGAGCGTGGCGTCTCCTCTCGGGCTCCAAGCAGGGCCAGACTCAGGTGGACAATCCCCAGACGGGAGACACGGCGTACTGGAGCCACCCCATCGATGTCCATTACGCCACCAAGGGGCTCCAAGGCTGGCCCAAGCTTCATCTTCAGGTGTGGCACCAGGACTCGTTCGGCCGCTGCCAGCTGCTCGGCTACGGCTATTGTCACGTCCCCTCCAGCCCCGGGCACCACCGAATCAGCTGTGCCACCTGGAGGCCGCTCGGCTCGTGGCGTGAGCAGCTCTCACAAATGTTCGTCGGCGGTGGGCCGCAACTCCGCAGCCCGGACATCATCTACAGCGGGGCGGATCGATACAGGCTGCACACCGAGGCCATGGGGACCGTGCAGTTGGAACTTGCCGTCATTTTGAGAAACTTTGACAAATATGGAGTGGATAGTTAGCAAGAAAAGGAGCTTGGACTAAATTGATCGGGGATGTACGCTTCTACATTTTTGTACTTCGACTCAAAAGTTTTCTACTTATTTTGTGATTAAATTAAAATACATGAATTTGGCCGCTGCTCCTTTGGGCCTTCCTATCTACTGTTCAGTAAAATAAAAAGGAAATATATGCACGTTTTCACAAGCAATCGCCCCCAAGTGCTAAAATACAGGTTGGGTCAAAAGGAGGTCTCGTATACAGTACACTTTTTTCACAACCGTATGTAATTCAGGAAGGAAATAAAAATGCATGAATGGTTTCACTTCTACATTTAGGGTCAATGCACTGACAAAACCTTGCCTGGACTTTACGTCAACGTTGACCTTGGAACTTGAACCCAGGCTATCAACCCAAACTTGAAACCTGAACCCAGGCTGGAAACCCTGACTTAACACCTGAACCCAAGCCCTAGGCCCTAACTTGAAACCTGAACCTAGTCTAGAAACCTTGACTTAAAATCCTGATCTGACACATACCTCGAAATCCTTAAAACCTTATCTTCCTGGCTGGAAGCCAAATTTTCAAACACTAACCTGAACCTCAAAATTGAAACTGAACTTGTAAGGTGAACCCCGACTATAAACCCTAACTTCAAACATGGATTCTGGTTACAAACCATATTTTGAAATCTTGACCATGGCTATAAACCTTAATTCCAGTTTTAGACCCAAACTCTGGTTAGAAACCCCTCATCTGAACTCTTAACCTGTTTTGAAACCTTTCTTGGAAACTCAAAATGCTTAATATACGTTCCAGTGTTGCAATTAACAGTATTTTTGTTCCAAAATTCATCAAAAGTCACCCAATGGGACTTCCCTACTCCTCTGCTCATTCATCCCGGCTTTCATTCCTGTTACTGGCGATGGGGATTAAATAAACAAGTCTGCTTGGTGATTTGAATCCACTCCGGGCCTTCATTAGGAACTAATCTTCCCCTGAAAAGATTTTTTTTCCTCCCCACTGCTTCACACTGCATTCACATGCTGCAGGGCTTCATCAGCATGACAACATGGTGGAGATTAGCCTAATAGCATTAGCGCGTTCCACTGGATCGTTCGTGTTGGCCATCATTAACACTGAATTGATTAGCTGCTTTTAATTGCACAGGAGTGTTGCTTATGATAAGCCGTATTTAACGCTCCTACTGCTTTATTTTGTAAATTCTCCCCCCAGTTTTTGTTTACTTCCCATTGGCTAAATGGGACTCTTGGAAGTTGGTATTTATTGAGCGACTTTTTGTGGATGAAGGACTTTGACTTGGATCTGTGGTGCATGTTTGTGCTGTCTGACAAGAAGAGACAATCATTAAATTAGGTAGACTGCTACATTAGCTTTGCTAGCCTGTCACTTTGAATCGAAATGTAGAACTTATTGTACATGTCAACAATGAGTATCTTGTTTACATCTATTGGTCATTTTGTGACAATGCAAATACACTGACAATACTCTGACAGCTCATGTGTGTTATGGAAAATTTTACTCACTGTAAGTGGTGTGAAAAGTATGTAATTACTGCTTGTCTATCTATGCTAGTGATGTTTCTTGACAGGCATGACAATCGAATGCGCTTCCACTCGAAGACAGAAGATCCCTTGAACCTGTGTAGCCACCCGTTGCCATTCGAACAATACAGAATAAGAATTTGTGAATAAATTGAGCCAAATTTATTTCTTCAGTATTTAGACTTTTTGCAAAACTTGTCGGTGATGTTCTGTGAGATTTTTCAAAATGAAAATCAATTATGTGCAGTAGCTCAAAAAAATTGCGAAATACTGTTTGTTCTGCTACACAAAATAGCGAGAAAGCGACCTCACCAACACAACTACTGTACTTTTCATATTGCGTAAAAAGGGAACAAAAGCGGATCAGCGGGCCCCCCGTGGAGTCACAACATGAATTTGTTGAACTAAGCCCACTAAGAATAGGAAAATGTTGTCTTTTCAATCACACACGCACACACTCACCAGATTAGCCAGAACCTCAGGAAATCTCATTCACATGGAAACCAACACGTCTTCATTCTCATTGGTAGCCAATGTCATTGAATCCTTCCCTTTCCATTTAAACGTGAGGCATGTCATCAGGGCTTCCTCACACATTCCTCATCCTCACGACGCCGGGAGTTTGTTATTTGGAGAACATTGTGTACTTTTTTTTTTTTAATTTACAATGAAGTCAGAATAGCATTGGGGTGGGTAATAGCCTGACTAGTCTTACTAAGAATCAACTGTATTGTCATGGCCTCAGCTGTGGTTCCTGTCACAGAAAACCTGTCGGTCTTTTCCATTGAGCGTATTTTGGGTTTGGAAGGCAAACAAGCTGGAAGATGCATGAAACTCCACCGACCTTGGGACCAGACAGCAGGTGGGTGAAGCGTCTTTCACTGATCTCCAGCAAACCTGGAATACTTCACACAGAACCCTGCAAAGTGCGTTATTACTTTAGCAACACGGCATTCAAATATACTACTCTGACAGCAACAATGGCGAGAAGTCGTTCAATTTTATGAATTTATTCCCGTATACTGTTCATCGAGTAGCATTTCTCTTGCTTCCAGTACATGTGTGGATGTTACATTTTTGTCCAATCAGATTTCAACCTTTACGTTTCGCCATGTGATTCTAATCCGGCCGCAGCTTTCAGGATCAGAGGTGCTGGGCCATGTAAAACAAATGCTCAGTCAATCTATAAACTACGAAAAAAAATAAAATGACTTGGCCGAATGTAATTCTTCTTTTTCGTCGTCAGTTACTCCTCTTTTACCTTTTGTCTATGTGCGTGCTTGGGTCCTTATGGCTGTTGGGGTGGCCATGGGGGGGGGGGGGGGGGGGTTGTTTTTTTGCAGAGGTGGAGTCAGATGAGAACAATGCTTGCCATCAACAACATGATCACCATCCTTCCCGCTTCAGCTTTCAGAATCCGACGTTCAGCTGGTACGTCGGACGCCGACCTCGAACTGCCTTCACCAACAGCCAAGTAATCAATGCATCCAGAAGTAACCTAAGAGTATTGATCATGGATTGTCTTAATCATGTTTCTTTTGGGGGGTGGGGTGGTAGGTGAATGTTCTGGAAGCGTTGTTTCAGGTCAACTGTTATCCAGGCATCCAACTGAGGGAACATTTGGCCGGGAGCTTGGAACTGGATGAGGACCGCATACAGGTTTGGACCACACACACACACACACACACACACACACACACACACACACACACACACACAATCTTTAAAAATACCCCTTATTTTTGTTCTTTTATATTGGAGATTTGGTTTCAGAACCGACGGGCCAAACTAAGACGAGCCCTCAGGGAAAGCCGACTGAGAATGTTTCAGTCCACCGTGGCTCATCTTGGGATGAAAGTCGCTGGTCAGCTCGGGGGAGATGACCTGCACGCCGAGATTGAGGAATAACATTTTTCCATCCATCCATCCACCCATCCATCCATCCATCCACATACAAACCACCATATAGCTCCCAATTAGTAATACAGTAATACATAAGTTTAGCCTTTTCTAACTGTTGTGTGATCAGCATGATTAAAATGTTTACATCTGATCATTTTGGGGTCTATTTCTCTGCACTAGATCAGTGTGTGTACATGTGTGAATATTGTGATTCTGCTTTCAGAGCTATAGCAAACTGAATTTAAAGAAAGCAGTCATGTATAAAGATCAATACAATCCAATGCATATTTTTAAAAGTCGAAAGTGTGAAAGCAAAACAATTGGCATCATGATACTTTGGCATAAATGGATTCATCATTTTTGTGTATTCAGAGAAAATAATCGTTAAAAATAGCTGAATTTACCTAGTTAAATGGATTCATTCAAATTTCACCACATCTATCCATCCATTATCTGACCTGCTTCTCCTCAGTGGGGTCGTGGGCATGCCCCAGCCTATCCCAGCTGTCTTCGGTCACAAAGTGGAGTGCACCCTGAACTGGTTGCCAGACAGTCACAGGGCACACATAGACAAACAACAATTCGCGAACAAAATCACATCTAGGAAGAATTGACAGTGTGTTGTCAACCTGGCGTGAATGTTTTTGGAATTTGGGAGGAAACCGGAGCACCTGGAGAAAACCCACACGGGCACGAGAGAACACGACCTCTGCACTGAGCTAACCAGTCAACCACAGTGTTGTCCATTTCACCACTCGCTGAAATTAATTTGTTGAGGTTGAATTTAATGGGGGGCTGGGTAGAATTGGCTTAACAATATATATATACTTTAATTTGATATGAATTGAGCTGTGAAGTGCTCTTTTTCCAAAACGTATGTTTATGAAAAGTTGTACTCAATAATTTCTACATGATTTGATCTTTTAATTAATTTTACGTGTTTCTCCTTGATTTATTTTTTATCTTTTCACAAATGTTGGATTATTTTTTCATGTTTTCAAATTTCATACGTATTTTAAAATTGATAAATATTTTAAATTCATACTAGCATATTTAAATCCAGTCATTTAAATCCCGGCAGACACTGCACTGCAGCCAAACTTCGGAGGTGTGTTTACGGTTAACGCGTCCTTCGCTGATTGGTCCACGCACACAGACCCCGCCTTCAATCCCGGAAGTCAAAGCCCCAAGACTTGATGTGTGTGTTCGGATTCCAGCGATTGTGTCGGTGTCGGTGGCGTGTGGCGACCGCTGCGGAAAATGGACACGCTCAACAAGCTCAAACAGTTTGACGCTTACCCCAAAACTCTGGAGGATTTCCGGGTGAAGACGTGGGGCGGCGCGACCGGTGAGAGGCTTCGGCTTGTCGGACAGAGAAGCAGTCAGTCGGCGCCGCTAGCTGGCTCGGCTAATAACAAGGCTAGCCAGTTACGTTTAACCCCTGAATGTAGAGCAAATTAAAACTGGTTTTAAGTTATTGTTTTCAACGTCAACCTGCGTGTCGAAACGCACACACAGCAGGGGTCAAAATTGAAGGACCACGTTACAGGCGTGTGTTCACATTGTGCGAAAGTTACCGACGCAGCCGTATGAAAGGGGCTGCTGATATATCAGTCTGTGTTTTCCACAGCTCTTTCTTATGTTCGGTGTGAATGGTGCCGAAGCTCCGATGAAATGTCGGGTTTTGTGGCTTTTCCCCTACTTGTCAGTCTGTTCTACATGAAAGATACTAAAATGTCAACTGCCGATTTAAGACGTCTTTTTCTCATGGCATTCTTTTCTGCTCTGTATAAAAGGCGCTACCGTCAAACAGTATCAAAGCCTTCTTTTTCTCATGTCGCTCTGAATCTGTTCAGTCGACAATGTGACAGGGGCCAATTCCAATTAAGTTGGGATGTTGTCTTAAACAAAAATAAAAACAGAATACAGTGATTTGCAAATCATATTCAAAGAAATTTAGATGGCAACACGTTTCAAAAAAGCTGGGACAGGTGGCAAAAAAAAAAAAAAAAAAGACAAGACAGTTGACTAACGCTCATCAAACATTGAAAGCCCGTGACCTTTCATCTGTCAGGCAGCACTGCATCAAAAAACCAACATTCATGTGCAAAGGATATCATCACATGGGCTCAGGAACATTTCAGAAAACCAACGTCAGTAAATACAGTTTGGCGCTACCTCTGTACGTGCAACTTAAAACTCGACTATGCAGAGCAAAAGCCATACATTAACACCAATACACAGCACGCGCTTCTCTGAGCCTCAAGCTCATCTAAGATAGACTGATGCAAAGTGGAAAAGTGTTCTGCGGTGTGACGAGTCCCCATTTCTAGTGGATTTAATTAAATATAGAGTGAAACAAAATTTGCAAATCTTTGGACTCCCAACTTCACTGGAATGGGGTTTGTACTAAATGGCAGTGTGAAAAGGAGTGAGTGCCTTTTTGAAGCCAGTGTTTTCCCACTTTCTTGCTGTTCTCTGTCAATAAGTTGACCAGCAATTGTGCATTTCAATGTAAAAAAAAAAATAAACACATCCCCTGTAACTATAACGTGACGTGCGCTTTCTTGACATTGAATGCAGATTTAAAAGTAGACTTTCTTGAATTAGATTCTGTTTCTCTCTCCACAGTGACAATCATCAGCGGCATCATCATGTTAATCCTCTTCATTTCTGAGCTGCAGTACTATCTCACTAAAGAGGTGTGTATTCGCATTTTCATGTATCATCATTCAGAAATATGAACGCTGTCGTGGTTAGATTGTCGTGCTCAGAGTCGTGGGAGAACAAGTTGCAATTGAACACGCTCAGGATTCCTTTTTGAAAGACCGGTTTGACTCGATCATATTCAGCGACAAGTACATGCCAGAAATACAAGGCAGGTAATTACATGTTGACACCTCCAATTAGTTTCAATTATTTATTGATTGATTGCACGTACAGCGAAACCTGAAAAGTTGAAAGCTTGAAAGTTTTTTTCCACGGGAAATAATGGAAATCGAAAGAATCAGTTTGTTTCACAGTGTCACCCGACTCCGGCTAACGCAAACCCGAATGAGGAAAGGTGGAAACGGATGACGTATTAATCGGTCAAGGGGCCGCACCATTACGGACGCCTGCGCGTTTCTGTTTCCCCGCAGGTGCATCCCGAACTATACGTGGACACGTCCCGAGGAGACAAGCTGAAGATCAACATCGACGTGGTCTTCCCTCACATGCCCTGTGCCTGTGAGTAACTCGCCGGGATCTAAATTCCACTTTAGCCTCTACGAGCCAACGTGATTTGACTTATGCATTTTAGATTGATCCCGATACTTCACCCACACATCCAATAACCGCGACTTTTGGTGAGCGTATTTATGTATCCACCGTGCTCAGCGATGACACAAAGTTCCCCACTTCCTGTCAGATCTCAGCATCGACGCCATGGACGTGGCCGGCGAGCAGCAGTTGGATGTGGAGCACAACCTCTTCAAGCAGCGACTGGACAAAGACCTCCAAGCTGTCACGCAAGAAGCAGAGAAACACGGTAAGATGCTCTCCGCCATGTGCTGAACCAACATCGGAAATAGTACAAAAACATACAGTAGCGCCGCCACTATCGTGCCTTTTTTTTTTTTTTTTTATCTATCTAGTGGAAATTTGTGGTTTGCAAGCATATGTATATGCATGAACAAGACTGTCACAACTCATTAATAAGCTGCAGTAACATTCGCCATTTTTGTTGAAGATAAAGAAAATCTGCATGTGAGTTTTGGAAGTAGACGTTACTGGAAGGGTTAGAGCAAACCTAGGGATGGCCCAATCACATGATCGGAAATCGGCGTCGATCACGTGATTTTTCAACTGATCTGGTATCAATTTCCGAAAGAATTGAAGATATAAAAGCTATAAAATACTCAGAATGTGCAAATATCTTGCCAAATACAACACAATAGCTTTGTTTTATTTTACTTTTTTTTTTTTTTTTTTTTTTTTTTTTTTTTTGTAGTAACGGTGAAGTTGGTGACACGGTGATGATTTCTTTGCAGAACTCGGGAAAGCTGATGACGGACAAGCCTTTGATCCCACCACGCTAGACCCAAATCGGTGCGAGAGCTGCTACGGTGCGGAGACAGACGAACTCAAGTAAGGAAGATTTAACGTAACGCCGGCATTTCGCCACCTTCCACGCTCACCTATATGGGGGGGAAAAAAAAACCATAATAATGGTGGACAGATGCTGCAATACCTGCGACGATGTGCGCGAGGCATATCGGCGTCGAGGTTGGGCCTTCAAGAGCGCCGACACCATCGAGCAGTGCAAGCGAGAAGGCTTCACGCAGAAGATGCAGGAGCAGAAAAACGAAGGCTGCCAAGTGTACGGCATTCTGGAGGTCAACAAGGTAACGGCATGGTTATCGTCGCAATTTCTGCTGCGGCGTACACACACACACACCTTCAGGTACACGTGCACACTCGAATGAGATTCAATACAAAAATAAAGAGTGCTCGGGTTTCATTAGGTACCAGCAAGAGTCTTCGTCACGTGTTTACCTCGCCACCCATTCAGTTCCGTACCTATTTGCTTATTTATGCAGCTATCTGCCTGCTTACTTACAGATATACCTACCTACCAAACGCATTTACCTCTCTGCCTACGTTCTTGCGTGCCTACTTTTCTCCGTATTCTCCCATGCTCTTGCTCACCTCCAGTACTTATCAACCTTGTTACTTACCTCTTTACAATCCTTATTTATCCAAGCACCGATCTGCCTGCTTACTACCCATAGATCCACTCACTTGCTTTCTTTTGCACCAACCTCCAAAACTTAGGACAGTAGGTACCTACCTACGTAAAGCAAAATGATATTCCCCCTACATGAGAAGAATCCTCGCACTGTTTTGTTTGTGGCGGGACCTTTGACGATGCTCATTTCGATTCACGCGCTGCTAAACTTTGACTTTCAGGTAGCGGGAAACTTCCACTTTGCTCCCGGAAAAAGTTTTCAGCAGTCGCACGTGCACGGTAAGACAGCGGTTCGCCTTCTCTGATCCCTCCCCACCCCTCCCCAATGACACCTCAAGGGTTTCTGAACATTGAATGGGAGCAGCTTAGTATTGTACCTTGTGACATCAAGGGGAGCAGATTTTAATTCTTGGCCTGCCAAT